GACTTTATAAAAATATATGATAATTGATAGTGGCATCTATATGCAAAAAAAGGTATTTTCTAGTATGATGGTATTACTGAAGTGCTGCTTTCAGGTTTCATAGCACAAGAAAAATATAGCAAAAGTTGTTGGACCTGTTAATTTATCCCTCCCTATATTGCACAATTTGAATCTTCATTTGTATATGATAAAATTTTGAATTTGAAATTAGAGTCACTTTTATTTTTTTTAACAGACAATTTGCTAGCATGGCTTAACAATAATTTTGTTTTATTTTGAAGTTTTTTATAATTACTATAAGTTGATATTATTTGATTTTAACAGGGGCTGTATTTTAAAGTTGATTTGATTACTTTAAGATTTTGTTATGTACTGTTATTAGTATCATGATTTAATTTTTTCTATTAAATATGATATAAAACCATATCATATGATTAACTTTAATCACTAGAATTTAGAAAGATTTTGTAGTGATAATCATCATGATTTTAGGATACATATAATGTTCTTATATACATAAAGGATATGATAGTATTATTTTCTGGAATCCGTACACAAGAAGTACATAACTCTTTCATTAGTGGTGAGCGGTTACGCTAGCATTTCTGGTAATCAGTGCCTCTTGTAAAGGTGTAAGTTGAAGGGAAAAAGAAGTTTCATACTACCACTGGTCCTTACCAACTACCATATTTTTATATGATTAAGATTCCATTCCTCCCCTTTGCAATGTTATTTCTCTCACTCTCTCTCTCTCTCTCTCTCTCTCTCTCTCTCTCTCTCTCTCTCTCTCTCTCTCTCTCTCTCTCTCTCTCTCTCTCTCTCTCTCTCTCTCTCTCTCTTTCTCTCTCTCTCTCTCTCTCTTTTTCTTTGCATAAGCATTTTTAGCTTTTTTGCCATTTTCCAATGTCTATATTTGTAACTTGATTTGGTTTATCCAGATGGTAATAGACTGCTTTCCTTACACAGACTCCATACCATCTCTCTAACTCAGTTCAGTAATAATAACAATAAGTAACATTTTGTTAATTATTTCAATAATAAAAAAAATGTAATACAATCTGTGCCACTGGTCACAGCAGCCAGGAATAGGATCCTGAGCATGCAAATATTGTCCTCCCTGGAGCTGGTGGTCTTCCAGTCATGGCTCACAGATTGTATATTCCACACTTATTTATTGATAGAAATAATGCAAAAGCCCCTTCTAAATGGCAAAGGAGACAAATCATTCTCCAAGAGTTTTGTGCACTCATGGAGAGTAATTTTTATCACCTTGGTCTTCATCTGAAAATGCTCACAGCAGCTAGTTTGTTACACCTCAGCCCACAGCCAAATTTTCCCATGATATCATGTTCACATCACCTGTCCCTCAAGCCAGTGATGGTCATGTCATCTGGATCATAGGGGTTAAGGCATATAAGAAGCCAATTAACCTCCAACTTATCCCAGAATCATAGTAATTTCGAATGACGGCTTCTTTGTAAGATTTAGAATAGTAGTACAGGAGCTTTGGGAAGTATAGGTTGGATGAAAGTTCTGCAGCAAGAGCAAGGTTAGTCACTTTCATTCAACATGAATAAATAAAATCAGCTGCAGCTTCTCTGCCAAGGGACATAATAGAAGCAGTTAACTACTACGTTTCCAGAAGGACAGTAAGAGTTTGTTTATAAGATTTGAATTAGTAGTTTAATAGTTAAGGCCTGTACAAGCTTTTTAATTCTGTGTTCCAATCTGTTGGGTATCTGACTAATGCAAAAGCATACTTTCTTACCCACCTTCACTCAATAAGAAGCTACTTATTTACTATGATATAAGAAAGCCAACTGAATACCTCACTGTTCCAAAAGGATTGTACTTTTTAATGATACTTCAGTTATAAGATATGGATTTATAGTTCAGTAATTACAAGACATATATGTTAGGCAAAATTATTCTGTGCCAGGATATTTGTACACAAAAAAATTAGCACAGAATGGTTTGAAGAAGATACAAATAAAACAATCTATAAATGGTTGCATCTCAGAGAGAGACTCAGAGTAACTAGATAAGAGGAATCCATTATATAGCAAACACTTGTTATGAAATACTACCCTTATGATTAAGCATGATTATATAGCCCTTAGATATTTTATACTTAAATAAAGATTGTGAACTAAAGAATAAAAGAAAAATAATCTTTCCATTTTCAGGTTGTGGAAGAAGATGGCCAGAAATGTACTCCACTATTGATATCAGCTCGGAACGGCCATGAAAAGGCTGTGAGAACTCTCTTAAAGTTTACTCCTGACCTTGAGCAAGAGGGAACTGTCAAATTTGACGGCTATGTAATTGAGGGGGCAAGTCCGCTTTGGTGTGCTGCAGGTAAGCTTTTTATTCTTTGATTGATTTTTTTAAATTTATTTTTATTGCTATTATTTTTGTTATTGTTGTTATTGTTGAAACTGATATAATTGTTCATATTATAATTACTGTTATTCTCATCATTGTTGTCAGTCATTATTACTGTTGTTATTACTATTATATTGTTATTTTTGTTTGTTATTAATTTTTTTTAATGTAGTCATAGTTTGTGTTATTACAGCTGTTTTTCTATTAGTATTGTTGTTCTTTCTGTTGTTTTCATTATTATTATTGCTGCTATTAATTATGATAATAATTATATTACTATTGTTGTTGTTGTTGTCATTGTTATTATTATTTAATGATAATTTATCCTTTTCTCACAAGCATATCAGCTTTCTTAATTTCTAGGTCTAGGTAAAAAGGCCTCATTTACTTTATTTAATGGATTTCATAGATGTATACTTATTTTCATTGAATTTTTTCCTTTGGTGTATCATATGTAAGCCAATTGAAATGTCAGTTACACACACACACACACACACACACACACACACACACACACACACACACACACACACACACACACACACACACACACACACACACACACACACACACACACACACACACGGCTTCAATTCTTAAGAACCATCAATTAAGAGGTCACTTTTCACTAAACAGGTGCAGGTCATCTAGGAGTAGTGAAAATGCTGGTGCGAAACGGGGCAGACGTGAACCACCCAACGAAAACAAACTCGACCCCTCTTAGAGCCGCTTGCTTTGATGGACGCTTAGACATTGTGAAGTACCTGACAGATCACTGTGCTAATATTCATATAACTAATAAATACAACAACACTTGCTTGATGATAGCAGCTTATAAAGGGCATGTTGATGTTGTACAGTTTTTGTTAGAACTTGGTGCGAACCCGGATGAAAAGGCCCACTGTGGTGCGACAGCCCTCCACTTTGCGGCTGAGTGTGGGCATGTGAAGATTGTGAAAGAACTATTGGCGCATGGAGCTAAAATTACCAAAAATGAACATGGCATGACTCCCCTAATTGCTGCGGCTGAGAGAACAAGAGCAGATGTCGTTGAATATTTGATATCAAGGCCTGACGTTACAAGAGAAGAAAAAGTGGATGCTCTTGAGCTGCTCGGAGCATCGTATGCTAGTGATAAGGACAATTATGATATAGAATTAGCCTACAAATACATGATGCTTGGTATGAAGGAAAGATATAGTGATGAAGACAATATTATAAGTAAGTATGTAGGTTTTGTATACAAGATTGTGATACATGTATATTTAAAGTTCTGTTTTTTCAAGTTTGCCACTGAATTTACTCTGTAGTAGTTAAGTTAGTAAAGTTTATTTTAATACTTCCAAGGGATTTATATTAAATTGTTACATATAGCATTTTTAGCTTTTGATTTATGTTATGTTTATAAGATTACATTTCTTTTGATGTGAATATTTATGGATGCATTTAAATGACTTGTGCAGATTTCCAGAGAAATGCATTTTACAAAACAAATTAATCTTTCATCATTGCAGTTGCATTTTTCCTTCTTTTTTTCTAATTTTAATTTCTGCTAAAACTCTAGATAATTGCTATTATTGTTTTAGGTGATACACAAATCCCAGTGCCCTCATTATGCATCGAACCTCAGGAATTGGAAGAGTGGTGTGAAGTCTGAGATAATGATTAACCCAATGGTGCCGGGGAAAATGAACAAAAAATGTGGAAAATATTGTGCCCACTTTCTATGTTTTTCGTGAAATGTCTGCCGATAGATGGCTCTGCTAGCGCCTGATTTAAATGGCGGGAAAAACGTATTTTTCACTAGTGCTATGAAAATCGATGGTGTCATTTTCATCATAAACATTATAATTTTTATAATGTTTTTTTAACAATAGTAACAGCAAAATAAGATTACGTAAAATATTTCGTAAATCAAAGAAACGGGTAAACGAGCGAGACGGGCGGTGCTCGTAACTGGCTCATTGGGGAGTTAGTACAAGTGTTGCCATCTATGCGTAAAAACAATCAAACAAGTACTCACGGTGGGCATAGCACGTACGTACACGTCATACCCGGCACCAAGGGGTTAAGATTTTTTTTATGAATTCCTCATATATTCTAAAAATTACTTCCTCATGTATTTTTAATTGCCATTGTTATATGTCATTATTACTTGTATGAAAGATGTGTAACTCTGAGTCATTCATCCATTTTGTTAAAATTGTGTGAGGCCCAACTAAATAAATATTCTTATATACACAGAAATAAATGTATATCTATCTATCTGTCTATCTGTTTGGTAAATATGCATTTATTTCTGTGTATATATTCATTGGGTTGGGCCTCACACACTTTAAGCAAGCTGTTTAATTGAGTCAACCTTTTAATTTGTGGACTGTTATTTATTGTTTCAGGAGTTTTCAGTACTAGTTATTGATAAAAAAATAACTTCTCTTGTTGTAAGATAAAAGGGAAATGTTGAATTTATGATATATTAAAAAAACAGAATATACAGAGTATGCATTATGATAATGAAATGTAAAAGAAGGGAAATGAGTGATTTTAAGAGTGAACAAAACAAAGCCGGAAGTTCCTAAAGAAATAGAAGAGTATATATTCATGATCACACAGATGGCAATCACACACACATTCAGGCTTTCTTTGAGGTGTTTACTTGTGTTGTTTTGTAATTCCACTTCATTTTGCAGGAAAACCAAAAACTGAACCGGTACCCGCATATGAAAATCGTATTGAGTGCGAAACAGTAGAAGAGCTGGAGGCCATACTTCATATTCCAGCAACCCTTCATATGGAGAGCTTAGCCATCAGAGAACGAATTCTTGGCCCTCATAATCCTGAGGTAAAGGAGAATGTCATAGTAAATATGCAATAAATTTCTGTGTGTGTATGCGTGAGAGAGAGTGAGTGAGTGAGTACAAAACCTCAAAACCATATAATATTTAGTTTCATTTTCTTCCCCAGTAAGTTGTGTAGCAGACAACTTACTGGGTACTTTTTATTGCATTTTTTCATGTGTTCCATGTAAAAAAGATCAGTATTATTTCTTAAAACTTTTCAAGAATAGATTACAAAAAATTGAAATTAGATAGAAAAAATAAAAACAAGTGCACTTAGCATACTTGTCTTCCACTCAAACACCAAATCTAACAGACTTATCTGAAGCAGTTCAAGTAAAAAAAAAAAAAAAAAAAAAAAAAAAAAAAGTGTTGCGTCATACTTTTACATTATTTTATTTACTTTTCTGCCTTTTTTTCTATGAAGAATAACCTAACCCATCATACATAAATGTTGGACAAGCTATGTTTAACATTGTTATTACTCTTATTGTTTGATTTTTATCATCATAATAAACAATTGAAATAGTAATAAAAGTAGAAGCCCTTGCAGTTCAATCTGTTCATGACTTATTGCTTCTGGAGCCAGCTATATGTTAACAAAAGTAATACAAAAATAAGACACATTTATGTAATTTGAGGGCAAGTTCGTCTCTTTGCAACCTTAGAATATGTGTACTTGAACCTTCTAATGGAAAATTGTGGTTCCTTATTACATTTCCTGGTAAAAAGCTTATATATTTTACTATGAACGCTACTTTTCTGTGTAAATATAATCCTCTTTAGTATATGAGTGGTCAGAACTGCTTTAGACTGTGTTCTTAAGTGATATTTGTTTAACAGAATCAGAGGGAATTAATGGAAGTTATATTCTAGCATTTGCATATCCTTGCATATCCTTTCACAGAAAGATAACAGAACAATTTTGTATTACAGGTTCCTCACCCGGTTATATTCAGAGGAGCTGTATTTGCTGATAATGCTCGATTTGATCGGTGTTTACAGCTCTGGATCCATGCTTTAAGATTAAAGCAGCTAAATAAAGTGTGTGTTATGAAGGATCTCTTGAGATTTGCACAGGTAATTATCTTGCAAGTCATGTACAGATGACTCTCTAAATTGACTTGTGTATCATAAGTGTTCTCAACTTCATAAATAAAATGTTAACCCAATGCCGCCGGGGAAAATGAACAAAAAATGGGGAAAATGCTGTGCTCATTTTTTATATTTTTTGTGAAATGTCTCAGCCCATAGATGGCTCTGCTAGTGCTTAACCACGAAGGAGTTAATAGACCTTGTGACCTTATGTTATTTGAATTGGCGGGAAAAACATGTTTTTTACTAGTGCTATGAATATTAATGGTGTTATTTTTATTATAAACATTGTGATTATTTTAATGTTTTGAACATTAGTAACAGCAAAATAAGATAACGTAAAATATTTTTGTAAATCAAAGTAAAGGGTAAACGGGCGAGACAGGTAGTACTCGTAACTGGCTCATTGGTGACTTAGTACAAGTGTAGCCATCTATGTGGAAAAACAATCAAACAAGTAACTCACAGTGGGCATGGCACATTCGTATATATCATGCCCGTCGGCATTGGGTTACAAGTTATTAGCTATTATTGTGACTATATTTTGATGCTTGTGTATGTGTATAATTTTTTTTACAAGTGAATCAGTATTTTATTTTGTCTTTCAGGTATTTTCACAAATGTTACATGTTGGTGTGCAGCTAGAATTTGAAGCTGTGCACGAAGTTTTAGATGCCACGGTCATAGAACTTCAAAGAAACCAAGAAAAAATTCAGTGTCCCGGTCCAAAGGATGACGTAGAGACAATAAAGGTATGACTTTCTTTTACTCTTTTGCTTTTACTTTTTATTTTATTGCTTCATAAAGGAAAAAGAAGAAAAAGAGAGAAGAAATGCACATGTGAAGCATGGTTTTCTCAACATTTTTGTATATATAAAAGTAGATAGTATTAGTTTAAATTTTGTTAGAATTTTTTCTTAAGAGTCAGTGCTATAATTTAAAAGATTGAAAACTGATCTAGATTTTATGCACAATTTGCAGGATGAAATGGAAAGCAACATGATAACTGCCCTGTACCTTATCATGATTGCTGTCTGCGTGGCCAAAGGTCGGTCCACATCTGCTCAACTCAACGGTGGCGGAAACGGTGGCATCGGAATCAACAACGGGATTAGGGGTATAAACGGGGGTGTTGGCCTTGTGGGTATTGGGGTGGGGGCGCTTGAAGGTGGGGATGCCATTA